TCTACACAGCATTCAAAGACAGTATATAAGATCAGATAAAATCATATAAGGTTAAAATAGCAATAGAATAAAAGCAGACCTAAAAATCCAGTAATCTAAAAAGATGTCACAATGCAAAGGACAACAAATTTGTTTTTAATAAATATTAATTTAAATGTGCATGACATCTAAGCTGTGTGCACATGGAGACATAGATTATTCAGCGTGGGCAGATTAATTTCAGATACTCGATATACCAAGAATTACCTAAAGACGTGTCTCCAGTAGAAGTGATCACATTGAAATTAAAATTGTCAATTGAATATAATAATACCATTGCTATACGTACAATAGACTGCTTTCTAATCTACATTCACTGGCAGCAAACTCAAACCACATATAAAAGTATATTCATGCATTTTCTAGCTGAACTGTAAATACTTGTTACAACACGATGCATGCAGGTTTTTTTGTGCTTTACTGCATGGCTACAGTCAGTAGTTAATCTTACAGCTCACTAGGTTGCGTATATAATATATTTCCTCAGGATTGTGAAGATGTAGGACAAGTTGTGTGAATACCATAAGTAATATCATGAGTGACTTTGAACAACTCTGACTTAAGGTTCAACACATTTCACTGACCAAGTAAACTTGCTTTATTGTACATCCATGAGCATAAACCTTTCCTTCAGTATGTGGTTTTATCACTTTATTTTTTCATACTCAAGTATCTGAGTCCTTCTGTGTGTAAATTTTAAATAAACTATGTATTCATCCCAAGATGACAAAGTCTCAGTCATGTAATGGACTCTTTCTTTCAAGCTCAAACTGATGCATTGCTATTTTATTTTACTCAAAAGAAAAGAAAAATGTTAAGGATATCTTAACTGGTCCCCATTTACCAGTTCTCTGTATTTAGTCTGCGGTATGCATGAGGAGAAACTTTCCAACAACGTAAATGCATCTGGTTCCAGAAATTGAAGGAAAATTCATGCAAAACACCATGGAAACATTTTTAGTTACTCAAGTAATGTAATGAAATGCACGTACCTTTGCCATTTTTAAACCCTCTCTGACTTTTGCAGAAAACAAAGATGATATTCACAGTCACACTAAAGGCCAACAACACACCTAGTGCAAGGACAACCGGGTCAAGTTTTGCTTCTGGAAAAGACACACATGATATTCATGATTATTCACGCCAGATTTGGAGAAATCATAACATAAAACTTGCTGAAAAATGTTCAGTAGTGAACCCCAAAATACTTTTCACATCAAAGTCAAAGTAAACTTTCTTGTTATCTCTGCAACATACAGAACAGTATATAGAGAGACGAGACGACGAGGATCCAGTTCCATTCAGTGCAAAGGACAACAATAAATATAAGAAGAGTAATAAAGAAAGAAATATACACTTTAAGACTGAGGCAAAGGTAAAAACATAAAAAATAGATATTTTTGGCTGCAAAACAATTTTTTGAGAACATTTTATTGAGTGAGTATTACAAATAGGAAATGATTTATTCTTTATAAAATGTTTAAATACATGATGCAGTAGTAGTTACCAGCCAAAGAGACTAGAACAGCTAATAAAAATGCAGCCAATGATGATATATTTTATCACACTAGAGTTGGCCTGGTATATGTCCATATTACTGATATATAAGAAGTTTAATGCATTTATATTTCCCTTGAAAACATCTAAGATCTACCCAGTTATTGACTAAAATGTCATGATTTTAAGAGATTTAAGATCTGACATTAAAACATACTTGTCTCCACTTGAGTTCCTTCACCAAACACGATCTCTCCACATGTGACCACTGCACAGTAGTAGATCCCAGCATCAGAGGAGTTCTGAATAGTTTTGGACAGACTGTGGACACAACGCCGTCCCTCTTGTTTTTGACTGTAGTTTCTGTGAGTGTAAATAAT